CATCCTGGGGGCTGAGGGGGCTCCATCCGAGGAGTCCTGAGAGTCCTGGGGACAGAGGGGGACAGGGATGGGGTCAGGGATGGGGTCAGAAATGGGGACAGGGTTGGGGTCAGGGATGGGGCAGCTGCTCCCCCCCCCACTGTCTCCAAGTGTCCCAGGTGTCCCAAGGATGTCACACAAGTGTCCCAAGTGTGTCCCAGGTGTGTCTCAGGTGTGTCCCAGGTGTCCCAGGTGTGTCCAGGTGTGTCCCCAGGTGTGTCCCCAGGTGTCCCCAGGTGTGTCCCCGGTGTGTCCCAGGTGTGTCCCAGGTGTCCCAGGTGTCCCCAGGTGTGTCCCAGGTGTGTCCCAGGTGTGTCCCAGGTGTCCCCAGGTGTGTCCCAGGTGTCCCAGGTGTGTCCCCAGGTGTGTCCCCGGTGTGTCCCAGGTGTGTCCCAGGTGTCCAGGTGTCCCCAGGTGTGTCCCAGGTGTGTCCCAGGTGTGTCCCAGGTGTCCCCAGGTGTCCCCAGGTGTGTCCCAGGTGTGTCCCCAGGTGTGTCCCAGGTGTGTCCCAGGTGTCCCAGGTGTATCCCAGGTGTGTCCCCAGGTGTCCCCAGGTGTGTCCCAGGTGTGTCCCCAGGTGTGTCCCAGGTGTCCCAGGTGTCCCCAGGTGTGTCCCAGGTGTGTCCCCAGGTGTGTCCCCAGGTGTCCCCACCTCGTCTGTCCCCAGACACGCCGATTTCCTCTTCCGGCCCGGCTGTGCCGCCACCGCCCGGCGAGCGGAGCCGTTCTGAGGGGAGAGAGGGGGGGTCAGCACCTGGAATACCCCAAAATACCCCCAAAATACCCCAAAATCACCCCCAAATATCCCAAAACATCCCAAAACACTCTAAAATTACCTCAGATTTACCCCAAAATTGCCCCAAATCACCCCAAAATAATCCCAGATCACCCAAAATACCCCAAATCACCACAAACCCCCCAAAATCACCATAAATCACCCCCAAACCAGCCCCAAACTGCCTGAAATCCTCCCAAATCCCCCCAAAATCACCACAAAACCCCCCAAAATCACCACAAAACACCCCAAAACTGCCCCAAAATAACTCCAGATCACACCCAATGTGTGATTGGTGTGTTACTGGTCACCTACTGGTGTTACTGGTGTGTGACGGGTGTTGCTGGTTGGTTACTGGTGTTACTGGTGCGTTACTGGCGTGTTACCGGTGTTACTGGCATATTACTGGTCCATACTGGTGTTACTGGTCCATACTGGTGTGTTACTGGTGTTACTGGTGGTAGTTACTGGTAGTTATGGGTTATTACTGGTGTGTGATAGGTGTTACTGGGCCATACTGGTGTGTTACTGGTTGGTTACTGGTGTTACTGGTGGTAGTTATGGGTTATTACTGGTGTGTTACTGGTCCATACTGGCGTTACTGGTGTGTTACTGGTGTGTTACTGGTTGGTTACTGGTGTTACTGGTCCATACTGGTGTGTTACTGGTGTTACTGGTGTGTTACTGGTGTTACTGGTCCATACTGGAGCCGGGCTCACCTGGGGGAACACGGACGCCTGCGAGGTCTCGGTGGGGGCGGGGACGGGCGTGGCCGGGGACACAACCTCGACCTTGCGCTTCTGGGACCAGTGCAGACCAGTTCAGACCAGTGCAGACCAGTTCAGCTCATCCCAGTCCATCCCAGTCCATCCCAGTCCCTCCCAGTCCATCCCAGTCTGTCCCAGTCCATCCCAATCCTTCCCAGTTTATCCCAGTCCATCCCAGTCCCTCCCAGTCCATTCCAGTCCATCCCAGTCCCTCCCAGTCCATCCCAGTCCATCCCAGTCCCTCCCAGTCCATCCCAGTCCCTCCCAGTCCCTCCCAGTCCATCCCAGTGTTCCCAGTACACCTGAGGAAGGGGAGGCTCAGGGGACACCCGGCTGTGGGGACAGGGACCCCTGGGGACAGGGACCTGCCAGGGGCCATTTCTGGGGCTGCTTTTGGGGCCAGCTGGGGTCATTGGGGACATTGAGGACCCTGGGGCCACTGGGGTCATTGGGGACATTGGGGACATTGGGGACAATGGGGACCCTGGGGACACTGGGGACATTTGAGCCATTGGGAACCCTGGAGCCATTGGGAACCCTGGAGCCATTGGGGACCCTGGGGACATTTGAGGACACTGAGGGACCCTGGGGACATCTGGGGACATCTGGGGACGTGTGGGGCCCCCGGGGGTTACCGTGGGGCGCTGGGGGGGCTCGGCCTCGCTCTCCTTGGGCAGGTGCAAGCGGAGCGTGATTGGTGGTGGCCCTGCTGGTGGCCCTGCTGGTGGCCCTGCTGGTGGCCCCGCCGGTGGCCCTGGTGGCCCCAGGGGTGGCCCCGGTGGTGGCCCCGGTGGTGGCCCTGGCAAACTCTTCCCGCTGGCCACCGGCAGCGCCAGCTCCAGGCTCTTCCTCTGCGCCGGGAGGAAGAGGAGGGTTTAGGGGGACACCCAGGGGACACCCAGGGGACACGGAGGGGACAAAGCCACCACGGCTCGGGGCCCTCCCGCACCCCCCGCGCCCCCTCCCCGGGCTCCTGAAGGGGGTGGGGGTGGCCTCGGGGGGACAGGGGTGTCCCCAAGGGGGCAGGGGTGTCCCCAGGGTCCCTTAAAGGGGTTGGGGATGTCCCCAAGGGCTCAGAGATGTCCCCAAGGAGTCAGGGATGTCCCCAGAGTCCCCTTAAAGGGGTCAGGGATGTCCCCAAGGGGTCAGAGATGTCCCCAAGGAGTCAGAGATGTCCCCAGTGTCCCCTTAAAGGGGTCAGGGATGTCCCCAAGGGGTCGGAGATGTCCCCAAGGTCCCTTAAAAGGGTCACAGGTGTCCCCAAGGAGTCAGGGATGTCCCTAAGGTCCTCTTAGAGGGGTCAGGGATGTCCCCAGGGTCCCTTGAAAGGGTTGGAAATGTCCCCAGGGTCCTCTTAGAGGGGTCAGGGATGTCCCCAGGGTCCCCTTAGAGGGGTCGGGGATGTCCCCAAGGGACCAGGGATGTCTCCAAGAAGTTGAGAATGTCCCCAGGGTCCCTTGAAAGGTTCAGAAATGTCCCCAAGGTCCCCTAAAGGGGCTGGGGATGTCCCCAAGGGGTCAGAGATGTCCCCAAGGGTCCGAGGTGGCCCCTGGGTGGGTCCTGGGGATGTCACCACCCCCCAAGGGGTGTCCCCAGGGGATGTCCCTGCCATGGGGGGGAGTGTCCCCACCTCGAGGGGGTTTGGGGACTCCAGGTCTGTCCCCAGCGGCTCCGAGTGTCCCCTGTCCCTGTGTCCCCCCCGTGTGTCCCCTCAGTGCTGGCCCTGCCCAAGGCTGTGCTTGCGCTGTCACCTGCACCTGTCCCAGCTGCTCTCCTGTCCCGACGATGTCCCCTGTCCCCATCCTGCTGTCCCCACGTCACCTCTGTCCCCGTGTGCCCCCCGTGTCCCCGGTGTCCTTTGCTGTGTCTCCCTGTCCCCCCATGTCCCCACGTCCTTCCATGTCCCCTCTATGTCCTTGTGGCCCCCATGTCCCCCCATGTCCCCCCATGTCCCCATGTCCCCCATGTCCCCCTGTCCCCCTCACCGTGTCCCTGTCGGGGGAGCCGGGCCGTGACCCCCCATGTCCCCCCCATGTCCCCATGTCCCCCTGTCCCCCCCATGTCCCCCTGTCCCCCTCACCGTGTCCCTGTCGGGGGAGCCAGGCCGTGACCCCCCATGTCCCCATGTCCCCCCCATGTCCCCATGTCCCCCCTGTGTCCCCCTCACCGTGTCCCTGTCGGGGGAGCCAGGCCGTGACCCCCCATGTCCCCCCCATGTCCCCCTGTCCCCCCATGTCCCCCCCATGTCCCCCTCACCGTGTCCCTGTCGGGGGAGCCGGGCCGTGACCCGGGCAGGCCGTTCTTGGTGGGGGTTTTGGCCTCCTTGCGGGGCACCTGCACCCGCTTCAGGTCCAGCCGGTCGTGGGTCACCCACTCGTCCAGGCGCTTGTTGACTGGGGACAGGGGACACACACAGGGTGACAATGCCACCCCAATGCCACCCATGACCCCCCAATGACCCTTGTGACCACCCTCTGTCCCCCCCATGTCCCCATTTACCCCACATGTCCCCCATGTCCCCCTATGTCCCCCATCTCCCCCAAGTCCCCCGTGTCCCCCAATGTTCCCGTGTCCTCATGCCCTCATATGTCCCCATGTCCCTGTGTCCCCCACATGTCCCTGCTGTCCCTCCATGTCCCCTCGATGCCCCCCTGTCCCCAGGGTCACTCACAGTCGATGTAGTGCACGTAGAACAGTTTCCTCCCACTGATGTCCTTCACGCTCAGGATCTCGGCCAGTGCTGCAACGAGGGGGGGTCACCACTGACCCCCTTCTGGGGATCCCCCCCAGGGACCCCCCAAAACCCACACAGAGATACCCGAAACCCACCAAGGACCCCCCAAAACCCACTCAGGGACCCCCAAACCACCCCACAGACCCCCCTAAAGCCCCCACAGGAACCCCCAAATTCCCCCCAGGGACCTCCCCCCACCCTGGACTGTCCCCAAACCCCCCCCCCGTTACCCCCCTCATGTCCCCCAAACCCCCTTGGGGACCCCCGACACCCCCCGGGGCCCAGGCCCCCCCCTTCCTCAGACCAACGCCCCCAAGCGACCCGCCCTCAACGCAAACCACGCCCCCCTCTCACTCCCCCGCCCCTTCCCTACCCCAGGCCCCGCCCCTCCCTCCCGCTTCCCGCCCTGTCCCTCAGCCCCCGCCCCCTCCGCAGCCCCGCCCCCATGCCCTGATTGGCCGCCCCCCGCGCTAAGCCCCGCCCCGACTCACGCCACTCATCCTCGTTGTCCTGGTTACGGCGCAGCACGGGCAGGCGGCAGCCCTCGGACACCTCCCCCTGCGGGGGCGGGGCCTCGTCAGGGCCGGGAGGGCCCCAAAACCCCCTCGGGGATTCGGGGGGGGGGGGGGGTCCCCGAAACCCTTCGGGAGGCTCCCGGAACCCCTCGGGAGGGTCCCCGAACCCCCTGCGCGCTGCCCCCCCCCCGCCCGCTCCCCACCTCCGCCATTCTCCTCCCGGCCTCCGCTTCCGGCCGGCCCGACGCGCTTCCGGGATGCGGCCACGCCTCTTTCCCGTTTTAGCCCCGCCCCCGCCCCGACTCCGCCTCCGGTTGGCGGGAGCGCCCGTGAGTGGGCGGGGCTTTCCCGGCAGCTGCGTCACGTGGGGGCGCGCGGCGCTTCCGCGAGCGGCGGCGCAAGAGGGGGACCCCCCCCCCGCCCTTCCCCCACCCCCGGGATCCCCCGGGACACCCCGGGACCCCCCGGACCCTCCGGACCCCCAACATGGAGGACGGTGAGTGCCGAACCCCCCCGGGGGGGTTTTGGGCCGTTCCGCCCCCGGTGCCGTCCGGGGGTCGCGGGGTGAGGGGGGGTGAGGGCACTTTAAGGGGGGGGGAGGTTAAAGAGAAGGGGGCGGCTCCTTGGGGGGTGGGGCGGTTTGGGGGAGACCCCTCCCCTAAAGTGACCCCCGGGTGGAGTGGCCCCGTTTTATTGCGACACCCCCGTGAAAAGACCCCCACCCACTTTGTGTGACCCCTCCCCTTTTAAGTGACCCCTCCCCTCAATGCGACCCCTCCCCTAAAAGTGACCCCCCCATAAAATGACCCCTCCTCAAAAGTGACCCCTCTCTTATAAGCAACCCCCCCCGTTAATGTGACCCTTTCCCCTTTAAAGCGGCCCCTCCCCTTAATTGCGACCCCTCCCCTAAAAGTGACCCCCTAAAAGCGACCCCTCCCCTTAATGCGACCCCTTTTATTGTGACACCCCCTTCAAGAGACCCTCCCCTTAAAGCGACCCCTCCCCTTTAACTGACCCCTCCTTAATGTGACCCCTCTCCTTAATGTGACCCCTCTTAAAGTGACCCCTTTTATTGCGACACCCTCCATTGATGTGACCCATCCCCTTAATGTGACTCCCCCTAGCAATGCTCCCCCCGAAGCCCCTACCCCCGAAGCCCCCTCCCCATTAACGCCCCCATTGCTCCCCCAGTGACCCCCCCGGACCTGCTGCCCTTCCTGCTGCAGGACTGGGGCGCTCCGGGTGAGTGGGGACACCCCGGGATGGGCGATCGGGGGGGGTCCCGAGGGTCCGGGACCCCCCCGGGGGGGTTTGGGGGGAGGGGCTGACGGGACCCCCCCCCCTCCGTGTGCCCCCCCAGAGCCGGGGGGGGGCGGCGCCGTTCGTGGAGATCCTGGAGCAGCCCAAGCAGCGCGGGATGAGGTTCAGGTACAAATGCGAGGGGAGATCGGCCGGGAGCATCCCCGGGGAGCACAGCACCGAGAGCACCAAGACACACCCCACCATCAGGGTGAGTGCAGCCCCCTATGGACCAGTACAGACCAGTATAGACCAGTATAAACCAGTATAAACCAGTATAGACCAGTGCACCCCGGTATCCACCCTGCCTGAGCCCCCCCCAGTGCCCCCATCCCCAGGGAGCACAGCACCGAGAGCACCAAGACACACCCCACCATCAGGGTGAGTGCAGCCCCCTATGGACCAGTACAGACCAGTATAGACCAGTAACCCACCGGGACCCTGCCTGAGCCACCCCTGAGCCCCCCAGACCCTCCCTGAGCCCCCCAGTGCCCCCATCCCCGGGGAGCACAGCCCCGAGAGCACCAAGACACACCCCACCATCAGGGTGAGTGCAGCCCAGTATGGACCAGTACAGACCAGTATAGAGTAGTACCTTCCTGGGACCCTCCCTGAGCCCCCCAGTGCCCCCAGTACCCCCCAAGCCCCTCCCCACCATCTGCGCGAGTGTTCCAGTGCATCCCAGTATAAACCAGTACACACCAGTAACAGCCTGGGACCCCCCCCCCAGTCCACCCAGTAGGGGGGGAGGGTTCAGCAGCCGCCTCCCCCAGACCCATCCAGCATCCCGGTGAGCCTCCCAGTATAAACCAGTACAAACCAATACAAACCAATACAAACCAATCCAAACCAGTCCAAACCAGTTTTTGCCCCCACAGGTGAACAACTACCGAGGCCCGGGGCGGGTCCGGGTGTCGCTGGTGACCAAGGACCCCCCCCACCGCCCCCACCCCCACGAGCTGGTGGGCAAAGACTGCAGGGACGGCTTCTACGAGGCCGAGCTGTGCCCCGAGCGCAGCATCCACAGGTGGGACCCCCCCCCCAAATCCGGGACACCCCCCCAAAAACCTTGGGGACAACCACCCTCAAAATCGGGGACACCCCCATGGGGCAGGTGGGATCGCCCAAAATTGGGGAACCCCCCCAAAAGAGCAAGTGGTATCTCCCAGAATATTGGGGAACCCTCTCCAGGGCAGGTGGGATCACCCAAAATTGCGGGGGGATCCATCCCAAATATGAGGAATCCCCCTATGAGGCAGGTGGTATCTCCCAAAATGTTGGGGAAACCCCCCCATAGGGCAGATGGGATCATCCGGAAATGGGGAAATCCCTCCCCAAAATTGGGGACTCCCCCCCAAAAGAGCAGGATCACCCATTGTATTGGGGAACCCCCCTCGAGGGCAGGTGGTATCTCCCAGTATATTGGGGAGCCCCTGGGAGCTCAGGTGGAACCGCCCAGAAAAAGGGGGGGGAACTCCCAAAATCCAGGACCCTCCCGGGACTCCTGGGAGCCCCCAAAATTTGGGGTTTCCTCCCTGGAGCGTCCGGAGGGACCCCAGAATCCAAACTGAGCCCTGACCCCGCCCCCAATTCCCCAATTTTGGGGTCAGTTTCCAGAATTTGGGGATTCAGTGCGTGAAGAAGCGAGAGCTGGAGGCGGCTGTGGCCGAGCGGATCCGCACCAACAACAACCCCTTCAACGGTACTGGGAGCACTGGGAGGGACTGGGAGGGACTGGGAGGGACTGGGAGGGACTGGGAGGGGACTGGTGTGTACTGGGATATACTGGTCCATACTGGGCACGACCTGGGGGTGTCACTGGTTTATACTGGTTCATATCGTTTCATACTGGTTTATACTGGGCAGTGCCGGCGGAGCAGCGCAGGGGCGAGTACGACCTGGGGGTGTCACTGGTTTATACTGGGTTATACTGGTTTATGGTGGTTTATACGGGTCTATAGCGGTATATACCAGTCTGTACTGGTCTGTACTGGTTCATACTGGTCTGTGCTGGTTTCCAGTGCCGGCGGAGCAGCGCGGGGGCGAGTACGACCTGGGGGTGTCACTGGTTTATACTGGTCTATGGTGGCTTATGGTGGTTTATACAAGTTTATAGCAGTATATACCGGTCTGTACTGGTCTGTACTGGTCTGTGCTGGTTCATACTGGTCTGTGCTGGTTTCCAGTGCCGGCAGAGCAGCGCGGGGGCGAGTACGACCTGGCCGCCGTCCGGCTCTGCTTCCAGGTGTGGGTGAGGGGCCCGGGGGGGCTGCGGCCCCTCCCCCCTGTCCTGTCCCAGCCCATCTACGACAACCGTGAGTGACCGGGGGGGACACTGGGGACACACCTGGGGACATTGGGGACACACCTGGGGACACACCTGGGGACACACCTGGGACATTGAGGACATTGGGGACACACCTGGGACATTGGGGACACACCTGGGACACTTGTGGGACACCTGTGGGACCCCCCCCAGTGACCCCGGTGACCCCGTGGTGACCCCGTTGTCCCCCCCGGTGTCCCCAGGTGCCCCCAGCACGGCCGAGCTGCGCATTTGCCGCGTCAACCGCAACTCCGGGAGCTGCCGGGGCGGGGGACGAGATCTTCCTGCTGTGTGACAAGGTGCAGAAAGGTGAGGGACAGCCCACAAACACCCCAAAAACAACACCCTGAAAACACCCTGAAAACACCCCAAAAACAACGCCCTGAAAACATCCCAAAAATACCCCTAAAATACCCCAAAAATACCCCAAAAACAGGACACCCCAAAACCTGGGACATCCTGAACTGGGGACACCCCGAAAATGGGACACCCTGGACTGGGATCCCCAAAACCTGGGGATATCTGTGTCTGTGTCCCCATGCATGTCCCTGTCTCGTGTCCCTGTCCCCATGTCCTATCCCCATGCCCTGTCCCTGTCCTTGAGCCCTCTCCATGTCCCCTGGTGTCCCCTGCTGTCCCCACGGTGTCCCCACGGTGTCCCTGTCCCCACAGAGGACATCGAGGTCCGTTTCTGGGCTGAGAGCAGGGAGGCCAAGGGCTCGTTCAAGCAGGCCTGTCCCTGTCCCTGTCCCTGTCCCTGTCCCCGTCCCTGTCCCCATGCCCTGTCAGTGTCCCCATGCCCTGTCCCCTGCTGTCCCCTGCTGTCCCTGCAGTGTCCCCATGGTGTCCCTGTCCCCACAGAGGACATCGAGGTCCGTTTCTGGGCCGAGGGCTGGGAGGGCAAGGGCTCGTTTGTGCAGGCCTGTCCCTGTCCCCATGTCCTGTCAGTGTCCCCATGCCCTGTCCCCTGCTGTCCCCACGGTGTCCCCATGATGTCCCTGTCCCCACAGAGGACATCGAGGTCCGTTTCTGGGCCGAGGGCTGGGAGGCCAAGGGCTTGTTTGTGCAGGCCTGTCCCTGTCCCTGTCCCTGTCCCCATGCCCTGTCCCCATCCCCTGCTGTCCCCTGCTGTCCCCACGGTGTCCCCACGGTGTCCCTGTCCCCACAGAGGACATCGAGGTCCGTTTTCTGGGCCGAGGGCTGGGAGGCCAAGGGCTCGTTCGCGCAGGCCGACGTTCACCGCCAGGTCGCCATCGTGTTCCGCACGCCGCCCTTCCGGGACCCCGCGCTGCGCGCCCCGGTCACCGTGCGCATGGAGCTGCAGCGGCCCTCGGACCGCCAGCGCAGCGCCCCCGTGGACTTCAGATACCTGCCCCACCAGGGTGGGCCTGGGCAGGGGGCTGCGGGGGGCTGCGGGGGGCTGTGGGGCACTTATGGGGGGCTAGGGGCAGTTATGGGGGGGCTAGGAGCTGTTATGGGGTCCCTTTGGGACATTCTGGATCCAGGGAGCTGCAGCGGCCCTTGGATCGCCAATGCAGCGCCCCTGTGGATTTCTGCTACCCTGCCCCACCAGGGTGGGCCTGGGCAGGGGGCTTGCAGGGGGCTATGGGGCAGTTACGGGGTCCTTAGTGTGGGTTTGGGGGGCTCCAGGGTCCTTTTGGGGCATCCTCAGGTGACTCTGGGGCGTTCCCAGCTCCCTGGATCCCACTGATTCCTATTCCCATTGCAGCTCCCATTGATTCCCTATTCCTGCCCCACCAGGGTGGGCTTGGGGAGGGGGCTATGGGGGGCTATGGGGCAGTTATGGGGTTCTTAGTGTGGGTTTGGGGGGCTCCAGGGTCCTTTTGGGGCATCCTCAGGTGACTCTGGGGCATTCCCATGTCCCTTTGGGGCGTTCCCGGCTCCCTGGATCCCATTGATCTCTATTCCCATTGATTCCCTATTCCTGCCCCACCAGGGCGGGCCTGGGGAGGGGTCTGGGGGGCTCGCAGGGGGTCTCAGGCAGGTGCCAGGCCTCACTGGGATCTAACTGGTGTCACTGGTGTCACTGGTGCAGGGGACCTGCAGTGCATCGAGGAGAAGCGCAAGCGGACGCGGGAAACGTTCCGCTCCTTCATCCAGCGCAGCCCCCTGCCCGGTGGGAATTCGGGGGGATTCGGGGGGATTTGGGGGATTATTGGGGTCCCTGGGGGACTTTGGGGGGGATTTGCAGGGATTATTGGGGTCCCTGGTGGGTCTGGAGGGGAAATTGAGGGTCCCTGCGGGAGATTTGGGGGATCCCAGGAGGGTTTGGGGTCCCTGGGGGGGCTCCAGAGGGGATTTGGGGTCTCTGGGGGGGTCTATGAGGAGGTTTTTGGGGGTCCCAGGGGGGATTTGGGGTCTCTGGGGGGGTCTATGAGGAGGTTTTGGGGGTCCCTGGGGGGATTTGGGGTCCCTGGGGGGTCTCTGAGGAGGTTTGGGGGTCCCAGGGGGGATTTGGGGTCCCTGGGGGGTCCCTGACCCCCATTTCCCCCCAGCTCCAGCCTCCAGCGAGTCGCGGCCCCCCCGGCGCCTGGCGGTGCCCTCGAGAGCCCCCCCGGCCCCCCAGAACCCCCCCAGTGCGGGTGAGCGGGAACTGGGAGGGACTGGGGGAGACTGGGAGGGACTGGGAGGGACTGGAACAAATTGGGACAAACTGGGAGGGACTGGGAGGGACTGGGGGAACTGGGAATGGGAGGAACTGGGAGCACTGGGAGGGACTGGGAGGGACTGGGGGAGGAAAATGGGTGGTGGGAGGAAAGGAGGGAATTGGGGAGGGGGAAATTGGGGGTAAATGGGGCTGGGGGCGATTTTGGGGGGACAATGGGGGAAATTGGGGAGGGTCGAGCCCCTCTCTCACCCTCCCCTCCCCCCCCAGCTCCCTCCTTCTCTTTCGGGGGTCCCGGGGGGCTCCTGGGGGCGCCGCCCCCCCCCCGAGGCCGAGCCTTTGTCGGAGGCACTGCTGCAGCTGCAATTTGAGGAGGGGTCCCCCCAAATCCCCCAAATCCCCCAAATCGGGGGTGGGGGGGGGTCCAGCAGCGTGACCCCCCCCCAGTTGGATTTTTGGGGCCCTTTTGGGGGACTCCCCCTTCCCCCCCCTGGACCCCCTGAACCCCTCGGAGCTCCAGCGCCTGCTGGGACCCCCCGAGCTCCCCCGAACTTCGGGGACCCCTCCCCAGATTTTGTGGGGGGGGTTTCAGAGCTGCCCCCCCCCTCCCGCCCAGGATTTTGCGGGGGGTCCCCCCATGCTGATGTCGTACCCCGAGGCCATCGCCCGCGCTGGTGCAGAGCCAGGCCCCCCCCGCCCCGGGGGCGCCCCCCGAAATGGGGCTGGGGGCGGAGCTGGGGGGGGGGCGGGGAGGACTCGCTGCCCTCCCTGGGCGAGCTCGACTTCAGCGCCTTCCTCAGCCAGTTCCCCTCCTCCTGACTGGGACACACTGGGACGGACTGGGAGGGGGCATGGGGGGCTACTGGGAGCCACTGGGAGGGTCTGAGGCTTTACTGGGAGTTACTGGAGGTGTCTTAGGGTTTGTTGGGGCTTACTGGGAGGTTTTCAGGGGTTACTGGGACTTGCGGTGAGTTACTGGGAAGTGTCTGAGGGCTACTGGAGTTTACTGGGAGTTACTGGGAGGCTTCTAGTGTTAACTGGGAGTTACTGGGAGTCAATGGGAGGCCTTTAGGGGTTACTGGGAGTCAATGGGAGGCCTTTAGGGGTTATTGGGAGTCACTGGGATGGATCTCGGGGGGCTACGGGAGTGGTTTGGGGGGCACTGGGAGGGTCTGAGGCTTTACTGGGAGTTACTGGGAGGGTTTCTAAGGGTTACTGGGAAGCTTCTAGTGTTTACTGGGACTTACTGGGAGTCACTGGGAGGCTTTCAGGGGTTACTGGGAGGCTACTGGGGAGCATTGAGGGCTACTGGGGTGTACTGGGAGTCACTGGGAGCTCTCTGCGGTTACTGGGACACAACTGGGAGTCACAACTGGGAATTCCGTGCGGTTACTGGGAGCGACTGGGAGGACACCGAGTGCCTGCTGGGGGTTACTGGGAGCTACTGGGGGGGGGGGTCCCCTGGGTGCCTTTTTAGGGGGGATCCCCGCTTCGCCCCGCCCCCCGGGGCACAGCAGCCAATGGGAGCGTGGCCCCCCTCCCCCCAGCCTTAGCCCCGCCCCCATGGAAGTGCCTTTCGGGGGGAGGGGAAAGCCCCGCCCCTCTCCCCCACCCCAATAAACGGTCCAAGGCCCGCCTGCGTTTGATTGACAGCTGAGGGGCGTGGCTTGTACACAGGGGCGTGGGTTTTGTTGGGCGTGGTTTATTTACGGGGGCGTGTCCATCTTGGCGCTGCCTCAGCCGGGGCGGGGCTTTGGCGGGAAGGGGCGGGGCCTCGTCCCGGAAGGGGCGGGGCGGGGCGCGCCGGGGAGGCCGCGGCGGAGCCGAGCGGGGGCCGGGGCCGGGGCCGGGCCGGGAGCGGCCGGAGCGGGGCCGGGAGCGGGCGGGAGCGGGGCCGGGCGGGACCGTCCGGGATCCCCCGGGATCCCCCGGGGCCAGCGAGGCGGCCATGCCGAGCAAGAAGAAGAAATACAACGCGCGCTTCCCGCCGGTACCGGCTGAGGGGGACGGGGCCGCCATGGAAACGGGGGGGGGCGGGCGGCGGGAAAGGGGGGTTACCATGGCAACGGGCGGGGCGGGGAAACGGGGCTTACCGTGGCAACGGGCGGGGGTCACGTCACCATGGCAACGAGGGTGGGGTCATGAGGGTCACCATGGGAACCGCGGTGAGGGCGGGGCTGAGACTGAGGGGTGGGCGGGGTTTGGGCGGGCGGGGCTGCACGTGAGGGGGCAGGTGGGGGCGTGGCCTGGGGTGGGCGGGGCTCTGCAGGTGAGGGCGGGGCTCTCCAGGTGAGCACTCAGGTGAGGGAGGGGGGCTCAGGTGAAGGAAGGGGGGCTCAGGTGAGGGCGGGGCTCTCCAGGTGAGGGTGGGATGCTCCAGGTGAGCGCTCAGGTGAGGGTGGGATGCTCCAGGTGAGGGTGGGATGCTCCAGGTGAGCGCTCAGGTGAGGGTGGGGCTCTGTGCAGGCGCGGATCAAGAAGATTATGCAGACGGACGAGGAGATTGGGAAGGTGGCGGCCGCCGTGCCCGTCATCATCTGTATCCTCTGCACACCTGGGCACACCTGGGCACACCTGGGCACACCTGGGACCCCGCCCTGCTCACCTGTGTCCCTGGGGCTGTCACCTGCGTGCCTGGGGCTGTCTCTGTGTCCCTGGGGGTATCCCCTGCGCACCTGTCCGTCTGTCCCACACACCTGTGGGTATCCCTGGGGGGGTGTCACCTGCGTACCTGTCCGTCCGTCTGTCCGTCTGTCCGTCCTTAGCTCTGCGCTCCCAGCGCGGGCCCTGGAGCTGTTCCTGGAGTCGCTGCTGCGCAAGGCGTGTCACGTGACCCAGTCCCCGCAACGCCAAGACCATGACGACGTCACACCTGTGAGTGCCTCACCTGTCCCCAGGTGTCCCCAGCTGTCCCTCACCTGCCTTCACCTGTGAGTGTGTCACTTGTCCCCAGGTGTCCTCACCTGTCTCCCACCTCTCCTTCACCTGTCCCCACCCGTCCTCAGGTGTCCTCGCCTGTCCCCACCTGTCCCCACCTGTTTGGCACACCTGGGCCACCTCAGGGAGTTGGGGAAGTGTCCCTGACACACCTGAGGCACTTTTGGGGTGGGTGTGGCCCATCCCAGGTGTGTTGGGTGTGGCCGGGTGGGTGTGGCCCATCCCAGGTGCATTGGGTGTGGCTGGGCAGGTGTGGGCGGGGCCGGGCAGGTGTGGGCGTGGTCTGAGGCCCCGCCCACAGGAAGCAGTGCATCGAGCTGGAGCAGCAGTTCGACTTCCTCAAGGACCTGGTGGCCGCCGTGCCCGACATGCAGGGGGACGGCGACGACGCCCACGGCGACGGGGACAGGGGCCCCCGCAGGTGAGCACACCTGGGGACACACCTGGGACACACCTGGGGACAGCCCTGGGATAGTTGGAGGGTACTGGGATACCCCCACAGTGATGGGGACAGGGGCCCCCGCAGGTGAGCGCACCTGGGGACACCTGAGACACACCTGGGACACACCTGGGACACACCTGGGGACAGCCCTGGGATACTGTGGGGACATCCCTGAGAAACCTGGGGACACACTTGGGTACCTGGGGGACACCTGGGGAGATCCCTGGACACCTGAGGGACACTTGGGGACACTTCTGGGTACCTGGGGGACACCTGGGGATACCTTTGGATACTTTGGGGACACCTGGGGACCCCCTGGATATCTGGGGACGCTTCTGGGCACCTTGGGGACACTTGTGGCGTAGCTGGGAAACACCTGTGGAGCCCTGAGGGACCCCTTGGGACACCTGAGGGACACCTGGGGATACTCTTGGGACACCTGGGGAGGGTCCTGGGGTACCTGAGGGACACCTGAGGGACCCCCAGGTTCCTCTGGGACCCACCTGGGAGACCCTCCCCACACCTGAGGTCCCTGAGGGGGGGATTTCGGGCAGTTTTGGGGTCCCTGAGGGGGAGTTTGGGGCAGTTTTGGGGTCCTTGAGGGGGGGTTTGGGGCAGTTTTGAGGTCCTGAGGGGGAGTTTGGGGCCAGGGGGGTCTCTAATGAGGGGGGGTCTCTAATGAGGGGGGGTCTCTTTCAGGGGGCGCCGCCCGGGCAGCGGCCGCAAGAACGGGGGTCCCGGGGCCAAGGGGACCCCAAAACAATCGGGGACAGACTCGGAGCAGGAGGTGAGGGGGGTTTGGGGGGGTTTGGGGGGTCCTGGGGGGGTTTGGGGATCCCCTGGGCATGGGGGGCGTGGGAGGATTTTGGGGGGGTCCCCTCATTGTCCTTGCCCCCCCCAGGAGGACTCTGAGGACAGCGACAGCGACGGCGACGAGGAGACCCCGCAGCCCCCCCCGGCCCCGCCCCCGCTCACCTTCAACAGGTGGGGCCTGGGGTTTTTTGGGGAGGTTTGGGGTTTTTTAGGGGGGTTTGGGGTTTTTTTGGGGGTTTTTTTTAAGTTTTTTTTGAGGTTTTTTGGGGGGAGTTGGGGGGGTTGGGGTTTTTTTGGGAGGGTTTCTTGGGGTTTTTGGGAGGGGGGTTGGGGGTGTTTTGGGGGTGGGTTGGGGTTTTTTTGGGGGTTTTTTTGGTGGGGTTTAGGGGTTTTATGGGGATTTTTGGGGGGGTTTCTTGGGGTTTTTGGGAGGGGTTGGGGTTTTTTTGGGGTTTTTTTGGTGGGGGTTTGGGGGTTATTTGGGGGGGTGTTTTGAGGGGGGTTTCTTGGGGTTTTTCGGGGGGGGGGGGTTGGGGGTTTTTGTGGGGGGGTTTGGGGTTTTTTTTAGGAGAGGTTGGGGTTTTTTAAGGGTTTTTTCTCCCCCCTCACCGTCCCCTTTTCCCGCAGCCCCGGGGTCCCCTTCGCCCCCCTGGGCCCCCCCACCCTCCCAGGGGGGCTCCCGGGGGGGCTCCCCCCGGCCCCCGGCCCCCCCCGCGCCCGCGAGGAGGAGGAGGAGGATGAAGATTACGATTCCTAGCGCCCCCCACCCCCCAGTTTTTACCCTTTTCTCCAGGATTTTCCCCCATTCCGGGGTCGGGCCCCCCCCTCCCAGTTGGGCCTTACTGGGAGCTGGGCCTGGCCCCAGTTTGGGGGGGCTGGGGGGTACTGGGAGCACTGGGACCCCCCCGGACACACCTGGGACCCCTTTTTGGGGGTGGTGGGGGGCACAGGGGGGGTCGGGGGCTGATTTTGGGGCTCTTTGGGGGCGTTTGCTGAGTCGGGGTTTTTGTATCGGCTCAATAAAGTTCCTGTTTCCATATGGACCCCTCCCAAAAAAACCAAAACCTGGGACCCCCCCCCGAAAAAACTCCTGAGACCCCCCAAAATAAAACCCCTGGGACCCCCCCCAAAAAAATCCTGGGACCCCAAAACCTCTGAATTTTCTCCTAAAAAGTTCTGGGACACCCCCCCAAAAAAAACCCTGGGACCCCCCCCAGAAACTGAGACCCCTCCCAAAATCCTGGGATCCCAAATCTCTGAATCCCCTCCCCAAATTCCTGGCACCTCTCTCAAAAAAAACCCTGAGACCCCCAATCCCTGGGACACCCCAAAAAAACTCTGTGACCCCAAAAATTCTTGGACCCTCCCCAAAAAATTCCTGAGACCCCAAAAACTCTGAGACCCCCAAATCTCTGAGTTTTCCCTTAAAAAATTCTGGGATCCCAAACCTCTGAATCCCCTCCCCAAATTCCCGGGACCCCTCCCCAGTTCCCATTTCCTTCCTCGGCCACCAGGGGGCGGCAGAGCCCCCACGGGACCCTATGGGGGATTTTTGGGGGGGTTCCGAGAGGATTTTGGGGTTTTTTGGGGGGCTTATGGGGGTTTGGGGGGTTGTAGGGATTTATAGGGGGGTCTTGGGGGTCTGTCGAGGATTTTGGGGGATTTATAGGGGGTCTATAGGGATTTATAGGGGAGCTGCAGGTACCTGGGGGGCGATGGGGGCATTTAGGGCAATTACAGGGTCTGCAATGGGGGAGCTTTTGGGGTCTCTGGGGGGTTTTAGGGACCTGCAGGGGCACCGAGGACTTATAGGATCTATAGGGGCCTGCGGGGGGGGTGTAGGACCCTAAAAGGGGGGGTTAGAGGGGTCTGGGGGGTGAATGAGCTCCTATAGGGGATCCCAGGGGCCTATGAGAGCTTTAAGGGGATTTTAGAGGGTCCTTAGGGGCTCGGGGGGCTCTGTAGGGGCTTGGGGGGATTTAGGGGGGTTTATAGGGGTTATAGGGGTTATGGGGGGTCTATAGGGGTTATGGGGGGTCTATAGGGGCTCGGGGAGGCCGTGACAGCTCTGTGGGGGCTCTTGGGGCACCTCGAGGGGCTCCTGGGGGCTCTGTGGGGTCCGGAGTGGGGACACCAACAGGTGGGGGGGGGGTCCCTAAATGTGGGGAGGGGCTCGGGGGGTGCTGATCCATCGGGGGGGCCCCTGAGGGGCCGCGGAGCCCCCGGCAGGGCGGGCGGGGGGACCCAGAGGCGTCCGGACCCCCCCGCGGCGCTGGAATTCGCCTCCTTCCCCCCCCCCTCCCGTTAATCCCGGTGGCACCAAAAGCGGCGATTTTGGCCTCGTTGTGTAACGGAGGGACCGCGGCGGGGACAGCGGGACAGACGGACAGGGACAGCGCCGCGAGAGCAGGTGGGACACGGGGGGACAGCGGGACAGACGGACAGAGGGACAGACGGACAGGGACAGACGGACAGGGACAGCGCCGCGAGAGCAGGTGGGACACGGGGGGGACAGAGGGACAGACGGACAGGGACAGACGGACAGGGACAGCGCCGCGAGAGCAGGTGGGACACGGGGGGACAGCGGGACAGACGGACAGGGACAGACGGACAGGGACAGGGACAGGGGGACAGCGGGACAGGGACAGCGCCGCGAGAGCAGGTGGGACACGGGGGGACAGCGGGACAGATGGACAGGGACAGGGACAGGGACAGGGACAGACAGACAGGGACAGGGACAGGGGGACAGGGACAATTGGGGGACCCCCGGGACAGGTGGGGTTTGGGGGAGCAAAGGAGGGGGGACAACAGATGGGGACAGTGGGGGGACCTCGGGATGGGGGTGGCACCTGGAGGACAGGAGGGGACAGGTGGGGACAGGGGGGGACAGGTGGGGACAGGTGGGGATTCCTGGGGCAGGACTGGGGGGGACATTTGGGGGACACAGGAACAGGTTGGGACACCAGGAAGGGCTTGGGGACGTTGTTGGGGGGTTGGGGACATTGGACGGGTTGGGGACATCGTGGGGGGACACTGGGACAAGCTGGGGACACTGGGGGTGTGGTGGGGACAGGGGTTGGGTTGGGGAAATCCCAGAGGGGACACGGGACAGGTTGGGGACATGGTGGGGGGACACAGGACAGGTTGGGGACATCAGGGAGGGTTTGGGGACATCACAGAGGGGACACGGAGCCACAGCTGGCCGGATGTCCCCATCCCTGGGGAGCTGCGCCGAGGTGGAGCAGGGACAGGGACACGCTGCGAGGGGATGGGGACATCAGAGGGGTTGGGGACGTGTGACGCAAGTGGTGACACCGTCCCCAGTGGCCACCACGTCCCCGGCTCCGTGTCCCCTCCCTGTCCCGTGTCCCCATGGCCCTGGGGGTGGCTGTGTCCCCTATGTTGGTGTCCCTCTGTCCCAGTGTCCCATGTCCTGCTGTCCCCATGGGTGAAGATGTCCCCAGGCCCCAGTGTCCCCGTGTCCAGCAGTGTCCCTCTGTCCGGCAGTGTCCCCGTGTCCCGCGGTGTCCCTGTCCCCAGCATTGTCCCTCTGTCCAGCATTGTCCCCATGTCCAGCATTGTCCCTCTGTCCGGCAGTGTCCCCGTGTCCCGCGGTGTCCCCGCGATGCCGTTCGGGGCGGTGCTGGCGCAGGTCGGGGGCCTGGGCCGGTTCCAGGTGCTGCAGACGGCGCTGCTGGCGGTGCCCATCCTGCTCATGGCCAGCCACAACCTCCTGCAGAACTTCACTGCCGCCGTCCCCCCGCACCGCTGCCGTGTCCCCGCTGTCCCCAGCGCCACCCCTGCTGTCCCTGGTGCCACCCCAGCACCACCCAGTGCCACCTCTGCTGTCCCCGGTGCCACCTCAGCAGCCCCTCGTGACTCCTTGAGAGGCTCCAACACCGTCCTGAGCTCTCCTGGTGGCACCTCGGGGTCACCTGGTGCCACCCTGAGGTCCCCCAGTGGCTTGCACAGCGCCAGTGACACCCGTGTCACACTCGGTGGCACCGTGGGGTCACCTGATGACGCCGGTGTCCAGCCTGATGGCACCTGGGGGTCCCCCAATGGCACCCTGGGGCCCGCTGGTGCCATGCTGGGGTGGTCCAATGTCACCCTGGCGTCCCCTGATGTCACCCTGGGGTCCTGCCGGCGCTATGTGGCCAATGTCACTGGTGGGCCCCGGGCCACCGAGCCGTGCCGTGATGGTTGGGACTACGACCGCAGCATCTACGTGGCCACCATCGTCACCGAGGTGGGGACACGGGGACATGGGGACAGGGAGAGTGGGGAGGTGACCACGGTGTCCTTGGGGGGGACAACACCTCTGTGGGGACGGGGGGAGGGAGGGGAGAGGGTGGGATTTGGGGTGAGGTGGGAGGGACAACGGATGGATGGATGGATGGATGGATGGATGGATGGATGGATGGATGGATGGATGGATGGATGGATGGATGGATGGATGGACAAGGGATGGATGGATGGATGGATGATAGATGATGGATGGATGGATGGATGACGGATGGACAGATGGAGATGCAGACAGACAGACAGACTGACAGATGTCCCCCTGTCCCCGCAGTGGGACCTGGTCTGTGGCTACCGGCAGCTGCGGCAGATGGCCCAGTCCATCTACATGGCCGGGGTCCTGGTGGGCGCCCTGGTCCTGGGGGGCCTCTCAGACAGGTAAAGGCAGCAGAGACCCCCCACCCCTCCGTGCCTCAGTTTCCCTGTGGGGCTCTGGACAGTTCATCCCTCCTGGGATGGCTCCCAGTGGCTCCCAGTGGCTCCCAGTGGCTCCTGTTGCAGGTTTGGGCGCAAGGCCATGCTGATGTGGTCCTACCTGCAGCTGGGGGTGATGGGGACCTGCACGGCCTTTGCCCCCAACTACGCCTCCTACTGCGTGTTCCGCTTCGCCGGGGGGATGGCGCTGTCCGGCTTCGGCCTCAGCATCGCCTGCCTGGGTGAGGGGACACGGGGACAGCCCGTGGGCAGGGGGACATGGCCGTGGAGGGGGACAGCACAATGGTCATGGGTGGGGACATGGCCATGGCCATGGGTGGGGACAATGCAATAGTCATGGGTGGGGACAGCCATGGATAAGGATGTCCCAATAGTTGGTGGGGACATCCCTGTGGCCATGGGTGGGGACAACCCAGTGGTCATGGCGGGGACATCCCATGAGCGAGGACATCCCTGTGGCCATGCTGGGGTCACACGGCGTGGACGCATCTGACCGTGCTGGGGTGGCCGCACTGAGCAGGAGGGCCCCAGCTCTGTGGGGACACCCCCAGTGAGCCGTGTCCCCATGTCCCTGGCAGTGGTGGAGTGGATCCCCACGCCCTACCGCGCCATCACCGTGGCCATCACCGGCTTCGCCTACACCCTGGGCCAGATCATCCTGGCCGGGGTGGCCTACGCCGTCCCCCACTGGCGCTGGCTCCAGCTCTCCGTGTCCCTGCCCTTCTTCGTCTTCCTCCTCTACTCCTGGTAGGACGTTGGGCCCCTCGGGGAGGCCGCGGGGATGTGGGGGGGGGCGTGCTGGCCGTGCCTCAGTTTCCCCTGGCTGGCTGCAGGTGGTTGGCGGAGTCGGCGCGGTGGTTGGTGCTCTCGGGCAAGGCCGAGCGGGCGGTGAAGGTCCTGCAGCGCGTGGCCACCTTCAACAACCGCAAGGAGGAGGGGGAGAAGATCACGGTCGAGGTCTGGTGGCCCCGCGGTGGGGATGGGGGCTGGAAACCACCCCCAGGCCCCTCCCCAACCTCTCCCGTTTCCCCTCTCCCAGATGTTGAAGTCCAACATGAAGGAGGAGCTGGCAGCTCTGAAATCCTCCTACACCGTCTCTGACCTGGTCCGGACCCCTGTGATCCGCCACATCTTCTTCTGCCTCTCCATCGTCTGGTGGGGCTGGGGACGAGGAGGGACAGACGGATGGATGGATGAGGGATGGACGGATGGATGGATGGATGGATGGATGGACAGATGGATGGATGGATGATGATGGATGGATGATGGATGGATGGAAGGGTAGATGGACAACTGGACACCCAACCAGTGACCCCACCCATCCAACCCTCTCCTCCCACACCTGCCGTTCCCATCCTGTCCTGTCCCAGGAAGGTGAAGTCACCTCAAGGTCCCCCATCTCCTGCCTCACTCCAGGTTCTCCATCAGTTTCTCCTACTACGGCTTGGCCATGGACCTGCAGAACTTTGGGGTCAGCATTTACCTCATCCAGGTGATTTTCGGCGCCGTTGACTTCCCAGCCAAGGTGGTGGTGACCGTGTCCCTGAGCTACGTGGGCCGGCGGCTCTCGCTCATGGTGGCCTTGTTCCTGGCCGGGCTGGTCATCGTGGCCAACATCTTTGTGCCCACAGGTGGGTGTGGAGGGGGACAGGGGTCTCCATCACTCTGGCCACCAGTGTCCCCAACTTGTCACGTGTCTTCCTCCACGTTTCCATCACTGTGTCCAACCAATGGCCTCATCCCCACCTGCCCGAGGTGTCCTTGCATGGTGGTCAAGCCCTGGTGTCCCCATGTCCCCCCACCCCATGTCCGATCCCCGGTGTCCCCATGTCCCCCCACCCCATGCCCGATCCCTGGTGTCCCCATGTCCCCCCGCGCCGTGTCCCAGCCCCGGTGTCCCCACGCGTGTCCCCACAGAGCTGCAGACGGTGCGCACGGCGCTGGCCGTCATCGGCAAGGGCTGCCTGTCCGCCTCCTTCAACTGCGTCTTCCTCTACACCACCGAGCTCTACCCCACGCCCATCAGGTACCGCCCCGTCCCCGCGTCCCCAGGGTGGGGCAGGTCCCCGTCACCCCTCCCCGGACACCCCCAGGGTGCCCCGTGCCCCCCGTGACCCTCCCGGCGCCGCAGGCAGACGGGGCTGGGCTTCGGCAGCACCATGGCGCGCGTGGGCGGCATCGTGGCGCCGCTGGTGAAGATGATGGACGAGTACTACCCCTTCCTCCCGCCCGCCGTCTACGGGGTGGCCCCCGTGGTGGCAGCCGTGGCAGCCGCGTTCCTGCCCGAGACCCTCAACACGCCCCTGCCCGACACCATCGAGGAGGTGGAGAACAGGTGGGGACAGGGATGCATGGATGGATGGATGGATGGATGGATGGATGGATGGATGGATGATGGATGGATGGATGATGGATGGATGGATGGATGGATGGATGGATGGATGGATGGATGGATGGATGGATGGATGGTGGATGGATGGACAATGGATGGATGATGGATGGATGGATGATGGACAATCAATGGATGATGGACAATGATGGACAACCCCAACCCATGAGGAGGTTCAGGGTCAAGGGACCTCTGGCTGCATTGAGGGACAGGTGGATGTATATGCTGGCAGAAGAACGAGCTCTGTGCCTGGCTGAATGCTCGGCCTGGGCCACTCTACCCATACCATGACCTTCCTCCTCCTCTTCCTCTTCCTCCTCCTCCTCCTCCTCCTCCTCCTCCTCCTCCTCCTCTCTGCAGGACCAAGCAGAAGCCAGCAGGTGACCCCAAGGAGAAGATCGCGCTCCAGCCCCAGGACGGGCCCCCCCTGAAGGAGGCCTGAGGGACCCTGGGGGTGGGCACAGCCCCCCAGCCCTGGCCACCAGCGACCACCACCCCAGGGGTCCCCACAGCTTGGGGGCGAGACCTGGGTCGTGACCGGTGATCTCCCGTTGGGGTGGGGACATCTGGGCAGGAATAAAACAGCGCTGGTGGGGACACGTCTCGGGCTCTTATCTGTGCCCCCCCAGGCCACCCCCAACAATCACATCCAAGGTCACATCCCATGGGACAATGCCCAAGGATGTCCCTGAGGTCACTTCCAATGAGGGGACAACCCAGGACCCCTTTTTTTGGAGGTCATCTCCACAGGAGGACCCCCCACAACCTTGTCCATCGATGAGGCGGCACCCAAGACCCCCATTTTTAGTGACACCTCATAGCCTCGGCCAATGGGACTCTACCCAAGAGCCGTGTCCCCAAAGTCCCCTCACATAAGGTGGCACCAAGAACACCACGCTGGCCATCACCTCCAACAAGACCATCCCAAATAACCCTAAACCAACTCTTCTCCTGGCTGAGGCGCCCCCCAAATCCCAGGGAAGGTGGAGAAGCACCACCCAAATCCCACCCCGCCCCCTCCCGGCACCGCCCCGATGCCCCTTCCCCGATTTCCGTCCCCTGAGGCCACCCCGGCCCTTGCTCCCATTTCTGATGTGTCCCTTGGCCCCATCAACTCCCCATCAAAAATTAACCCCCGGCGGGGAATGCGCTGACCCAGGCAGGGCCACCTCCGTCAGCACCTTTCGGTCGCCTTTTGACCACTGAAATCGCTAAAATTTAACCCAGAGGCGCCAGCGAAGGCCGGACATTGGTCCATGCCAGGAGACCTCCTCTCCCTGCGGTGCCCACCCTGGTGCCACCCAACCTCCTGGACAGCCCCTCTCCAAAACCGGACTTTTCCCCTCAAAACAGCAATGCTGTGAAATAATAATTAAAATAAATGAGGCATTCCTTGTCTTCCTGCCCCAAATTGCTCCAGTTTTGCCCCACTTTGGGGGACTTTTGCCCCGAAAACACCTTTTTTTTACCCCTGGACACCTTTGTGCTGCACTTTTGCCTTCTCCTGCTGGAAAACCACCAAAAACCCCCCGGAGACGTCAAACATTAACCCAAACCACCCTCGGGTCGGGTTATATAGGAGACCACCCCCGGGCGCTGCTGGAGGGAAGACACCGCGTGGCACAGGGAGGCGTTTTTGGGGTGAAACCCCTGAAATCCGGGGCTCTGCATGGCTGTGGGGCGTTCCCCGGCCCCGGTGGTGGTGGCGCGATGGCTTTCGCCAGCCTCCTGGAGCACGTGGGGGGCATGGGGCGCTTCCAGGTGCTCTCGGTGCTGCTCCTGTCCCTGCCCGTGCTGATGATGGCCAGCCACAACCTTCTTCAGAACTTCACCGCCGCCACCAGCGAGCACCGGTGCCGCCCGCGCCCGGGGGCCAACGCCAGCGGCCTCGACCCCGAGGCCCTGCTGAGGGTCTGGGTGCCCCGTGGGGAGCGGTGCCGGCGCTTCGTGACGCCCCAGTGGTGGCTTTTGGAGGCCAACGGCTCGGAGCCCACCAACAGCTCCTGGCCGGAGACGGAGCCGTGCGGGGATGGTTGGAGCTACGACCGCAGCGTCTTCACCAGCACCATCATCACGGAGGTGGGATGACGATGGGGGGTTTTTGGGGGCTGTCTGGTGGGCTTTGCACCCAATTCCATGGGTGGGTCCCACCTGGAGGCACCAACGAAGGGTCTGCTGCCAACACGGCATTGACCACTCCCAACTGGAGCATCTTCCCTGCTCGACCTTCGGTGGAGGTGTCAACACCAGGAAGGCTCAGGAGGGGAAGGGATGGATGGGGAGGTGGTGGCCATCCACAAGGGGGTCACAAGGGGTCACAAGGGGTCACAAGGGGTCACAAGGGGGTCACAAGGAGGTCACAGGACCCTTGGATGGACCTTCCAACCACAGCAATGCCGGCAAGGTGGCCAAGCATTCATTGTCACCTTTCCGTTGGCCATTCATTGACCTTTTTGGCCGTTTTTGGTGGGTTTGGGGTTTGGGAGGCCCGAGGGGACCCTGAGCTCTGTCCCACCCCGTGTCCTCGTCCCTCGGCAGTGGGACCTGGTGTGCAGCTCCCGGGGGCTCAAGCAGCTGGCGCAGTCGCTCTACATGGCCGGAGTCCTGGTGGGCGGCGTCTTCGGGGGGCTCTCGGACAGGTGAGGGGGTCCTGCAGGCAGGTGGGGTGGCACCAGGGGGGTCCTCTCGCCTTCTCTGCCTCCTCTTCATTCCCTCCTTCTCTTTCTCTTCCTTGTCCTCTTTTTCCTCCTCGTCCCCTTTTTTTCCTCAACCCCTTCCTCTTCCTCACCTTCCTCACCTCTCTTCCCCCTCTTCACCTTCTTCCTCTTCACCCCCTCTTCCTTCTCCTGCCCCTTTCTTCATCCTTGTTTCCTCCTCCTCTTCTCTTTCTCTTCCTCTTCCTCCTCTCCCAGCCCCATTTCTTCATCCTCACCCCCGGCTGCTCCTCCTCCTCCTCGTCCCCGCCCAGGTTCGGCCGCCGCTCGGTGCTCACCTGGTGCTACCTGCAGATGGCCGCCATGGGCACCTGCTCGTCCTTCGCGCCCACTTTCAGCGTGTACTGCCTGTTCCGCTTCCTGACGGGCATGGCCTTCTCGGGCATCGTCCTCAACAGCGTCTCCCTCTGTACGTCACCCCTGGGCGCCCACCTGGGTGGGCTCCGTGTCCCCCTCAACCTGTGGGAGCCATCTTGATGGTGTCCGTGTCCTCCAGGCACCATCCTGGGGGTCTCTGTGTCCCCTGGGCACCATCCCACTGGTCTCCCCATCCCCTGGGCACCATCCTGGGGGTCTCCATGTCCCCTGGGCACCATCCCACTGGTCTCCCCATCCCCTGGGCACCATCCTGGTGATCTCCATGTCCCCTGGGCACCATCCCGGTGGTCTCCCCATCCCTTGGGCACCATCCCGGTGGTCTCCCTGTCCCCTGGGGTGCTGGTGGGCACTCCCAGGGGTCCCCATGTGCCGTGTCCCGCAGCTCTGGAGTGGATGCCAACGCACATGCGGGCGCTGGTGGGCACCTTCATGGGCTACTGCTACACTGCCGGGCAGTTCCTGCTGGCCGGCGTCGCCTTCGCCGTCCCCGACTGGCGCCAGCTGCAGCTCGTGGTGTCCCTGCCCTTCTTTGGCTTCTTCCTCTACTCCTGGTGAGGAGGAGGAGGGATGGATGGGTGGATGGATGGATGGATGGATGGATGGATGGATGGATGGATGGATGGACGGATGGACAGATGGAGCTGTGGGGCATGCACGGACATGGGGGACACGGGGCGATGACCAGAGGGACAGGGGGACGTTGCTGGTGGGATGGAGGTGGGACAGTGACCATACCTGGGCTCCTGCCCCGTCCCCTCCCACACAGGTGGCTGACAGAGTCAGCGCGGTGGCTCGTCATGGTGGGGAGGTCCCACCAGGCCCTGCGGGAGCTCCAGAAGGTGGCCAGGATCAATGGGAAGAAGGAGGAAGGGGACAAGCTCGACATAGAAGTAAAAGGCTCCATCGGGTCCCCCAGGGTGTCCCTGGGGTGTTTTATAGGGATCCCTTGAATATCCACCCCATGGAGAGCTGTCCATCCATGGTCACTGTGTCCATCATCCCTTACGCACCCTGTCCATCCATGCACTCATCATCCCAGTGACATCCATCTCCTCCATCTCCACCCATCCCCTCACCCATCCATGAATCCATCACCTCCATCCCACCACCTCCATCCCACCACCACGCTGTCCATCCATGGTCACTGTATCCATCATCCCTTACACACCCCGTCCATCCATCCCCTCATCATCCCAGTGACATCCATCTCCTCCATCTCCTCCATCTCCTCCATCTCCTCCATCTCCTCCATCTCCTCCATCTCCACCCATCCCAACCATCCCCTCACCCATCCATGAATCCACCACCTCCATCCCACCACCCACGACCCCCCCTTCCCTTTTTCCACCCATCCTGCCCAGACCTGCCCAGGTACAAGAGGGTCCCCAGTGCCCCACCCCCATCCCAGAGCCTCCCTGTCCCTCCAGACCCTGAGGTCCCACATGGAGAAGGAGATGACGTCGTCAAAGACCCGCCACACCGTGGTTGACCTGGTCCGGACACCGGTCCTGCGCCGCATCTCCTTCTGCCTCTGCTTCGTGTGGTACGGCCGGCGGTGGAGGACACCAGTGGGTGGTTGTCCATCCCCCTCCACGTCCTCGACCTCCCCGTGCCACCCCACACCTCCTCACGGGTGACATCTTCACCTCCTCTCCCCCCTCGTGGCTCAGGTTCTCCACCAGCTTTGCCTACTACGGGCTGGCCATGGACCTGCAGAACTTTGAGTTCAACATCTACGTGATCCAGCTGATCTTCGGCGCCGTGGACATCCCGGCCAAGCTGGTGTCCATCCTCACCATCACCTACGTGGGGCGCCGCTTCACCCAGGCCGCTGCCCTCATCCTGGCCGGCTTGGCCATCCTGGCCAACGTCTTGGTGCCACGAGGTGAGACCAGGGATGGTGGCAGTGGTGTCCCCTCATCTCCAACCTCCCTGGGAGGGCCCAGACCAGCTCAACCCATTGATGGAACATCCAGGTTGCGTCATTTTAGCTTTTTATGGGGGATTTGCCCCAAATCCTGGTTTTTGGGGTCTTTTGTCAAGTGAGCTCAGCCCAGGTGGGGACATTGAGGTGACTCCCAGGTGTCCCTCTGTCCCCGCAGAACTCCGGACACTCCGGACAGCCCTGGCCGTCTTTGGGAAAGGTTGTTTGGCCGCGTCCTTCAACTGCGTCTTCCTCTACACGGGCGAGCTCTACCCCACGGTGATCCGGTAAGGAGGGGACGTGGCTGGGTGGTCCCTCAGGTGGACCCTCAGGTGGACCCTCCGGTGGTGCCTCAGGTGGCCTCAGGAGCTCTGCGTGTCCCACAGGCAGACGGGCATGGGCTTGGCCAACACCATGTCGCGGCTGGGCAGCATCATGGCGCCCCTGGTGAAGATGGCGGGCGAGCTGTTCCCGGCGCTGCCCTTCGTCATCTACGGCGCCGCGCCCGTGGTCTCGGGGCTGGTGGCCGCCCTCCTGCCCGAGACACGGAACGTGGCCCTGCCTGAGACCGTGGAGGAGGTGGAGGGAAGGTGGGGCTGGAGAGGGATGAGGGGATGGATGGATGGGTGGTGGGATGGGATGGAGGGTGGGGAGGGACAGAGGTAGAGAAGATGGTTGAACGTGGGGGTGGATGGATGGATGGAGGGATGGATGGACAATGGATGGATGATGGATGGATGGATGGATGATGGATGGATGATGGATCAATGATGGATGATGGATGGATGGATGGATGATGGATGGATGATGGATCAATGATGGATGATGGATGGAGGGAGGAATGGAAGGATGGACGGACGCCCATCCCAGCACCACAGAAACCCCCCTGTTCCCTCCAAGCCCCTCATCCCTCCCTCCCCACCAGGACACGATCCCAGAAGGACGAATCCCGACACCTCCAGGTCCCTCTCCAGCCCACCCCATCCAGCAACTCCACAGGGCCCCGTTAATGCCCCTGCACACCAGGGAACCCCCAAAATTCTCCCCCCTCGCCGCTCCTGATGGATGAACGAGCAGGATTTGGGGGTGGAGGAGCTCCAAACGCCCCCGAAGAGCAAAGGGACAGCAGTGACCACAAGGACCCG